ATACCAGAGACCCAAGACCACACAGAGAAAAGATTTCATTTTTAAATAGACGAGGAATATTTCGATATTGATGTAAGCATTGAAATATAAAGTATCTTTGTTATGTAATTATTTTGAATATTTATCCAATTTTTAGACTAAAAAACCCTAAAAACTTTCTTATAATTTCCTTTACCTTTTAGTATTGAAAGCATATTCTTAGTTTTTATTTATTTTCATCATTTTTACCTAAATGAATTTGCAAAAAGGAATGGTAATTGATTTTCACAGTGTACTTTTGCAGACGTATTCCTGCCTGAATACAATAACCTGGCCATTGCCTTGCATTTCGCCTTAAAGCCCACTCGCCAAGCCTCTTAACGGCTCCACAGACAAACAGTTTAGAGCTCGGGCTCCACGAAGTTGCGTTCGATTTGCCCCCTTTGGGTCTCTGTTTCTCTGCCTGCAGTGGAGTCAATAAAAATAAATGTCATAAGGAGGAGCTTAGGCGACAAATGCATCAGTGTGCAAATAGACCAGCTGCAGCGCCTTGTCAAAAGCAGCAAAAGTCAGGTCCTGGCCACTTTTAGCGCTTCGAGCCGGTAAACAAACAGGCAAAGAACCATGGCTAAAGAAGTCTTCAAAGCTTGACATTGGCTATTTGGACAGCTGGCCAAAGGGATCCTCTAGGATCCTTATATATACAGGGACCAAGTCAATTTGGTATGCAACGACTAATCAAGGCGATGCCACTTTAATGCAAACCCAATTTGCAGTGCCTGTAAGAAAAGTGTCGCAGACTTGTATCATCCCCAACCAACCACAGGACCTCAGCCAGGAACAGCAGCAGCAGCAGCAGCAATCATAATCATCGAGCCTGTCCTGAGAAGCCTCTATACATACTAATGAGGTGCACGCCACACGAGGCTGATTTAATTTCCTTTTCCACCTGCAGCACACCCATATACACACCGCCACATAAACACACGCTTACACGTGCAACGGACACCACCGCAAGACTCAACACTTACAGGAGCCACAAAAGTCAACACGAGGAGAGAAAGGAGCGAAACTTTTCCAAGCACATACATCAAGCTACTTACACTGGGGAAAAATGTTTAGAAATTTGAGAAATAATAAACTAGATATAGAACATATTATAAAGGATCTCCTGAAGTTATATAAACAATACTTAACTTAGCCTCAAACTAATCATAAAATATAACTAAAACATGTTCCTATAATCTCAGCTGTCAAATGTTTCAAGTGTAAGTATGTGAGAGTTTGGAGGTTTTGCATCAAACTTTAACATAAACTTGGATGTCGCTTCCGTTTCCGTTGCAGGAGCTGCAGCAGCAGACGATGACATCCCTCTCTTTCTCTCTCCTTCGCTCTGTTTTTCGCACAAGTTTTTGGGGGTTAGTGTGAGTCCTGCGGTTGTCTGTAAAGGTGTAGGTGTAGTTGTCGGTGTAAATGCGTCATGTATATGTATGTATGTGTGTAGTTGGGAGCCATCATTTTTGTTGCTGCTGCTGTAATCCAGCATAAAAAATGAATTATGTGCACATGCATTTCTTATGTGCTCACAGCCGCACTCTTATTACTTCCTCTCTCACTCTTTCTCTCTCTCTCTCTCTCTCTCACTCTCTCTCTCTCTTTCGCTCTGACGGCCGCTTTTCCCGTAAGCTGTTGAGTAATGAGCAAATGAAATCCCCTCGCTTATCTCTGCGCGTCTTTGTGGCCGCTTTGTGTGCGTCTGAGCATCCTACTTAGGCCCTAATCCTGCTTACGCAGCCTCCCTACACAGCGCCATCCAAGTCGCATTTTTCGCATTTGATAAGTTTTAGTGATTGCCGACAACTTATATCTAGCATATATATATATATGTATATATAGATTCCTACTCTTTATAGCTCCCTCGCATTACTGTCACAATTATCCAGATAAAGGCAGACATCCTGAGTCTGCTGCCTTGACAAATCGTTTCGAATATGAATGCCATTTGTTGGCCGGAAGAAGCCCCTATTAATGGTCTATAAGAAATCAATAAGCCAACGTTAAATCATCGGCAATCATGGCTCAAAATAGCGGCGACAAAAAAAATAGGGACCTCACGATGGCCATTAATAAATGCTTTCTTTGTATGTGACCCGGGGCAGGGGAATCTCTTTCATTCCGGGCCATATTCATGAAAATGCCTGCCATACCATTTGCCTAATGCAAGGCCATAAAAATATCACTGCGGCCACACACTGCGTATGAGTAATAATGCTGGCAAACTAATTTAGAGGCTTTTAGTCTCCATTTAGAGTTTTGAAAAGGATTCCATAGAAGGCTATACGTATATATAGGTTTCGACACATCCACTTAACACCACTAAGCCCGGCCAATGGGGATTCCTTTGAGCCACAAAACTATATGAAAATCGAAACAAATTTTAGTATTTTTGCCATTTTTCTATGCCCGCCCGAGCGTATGAGCTGCAGTCAACGCTTGACAAGAAAAACTGCACTCAAAATCAATAAATCACGCCAGATATCGGGACATGGACCGGGCGCTAAGCTGAAACTAAAATCCCCCAGTTGGAGGATTGCATCGCGGGGGAGATCGCGGTATAGAGACTTCTGCTGCTGGGCAACATATTGTTTCAATATTTGAATTCAATTTAATGGCAGCTAATTGAAAAAAAAAAAGGCAACAATAATGCACTGCTGGCCGAGTTTGTCCAGCGTTTGGGTCACATTTTTTGTCAGAGCTCAGATTTTGCAACAATGCCAGCCGTTTTTTGCCAATTGGTCATTGAACACGCCCCCAAACCACCACCGGGGTCATCATCATGGCACCAGTTGCCATCACATGTCCGTCCCTCCCATCCGGCAGTCGACGAGTTATTTGCACGTTTTGATAAGTGGACTTAACAACCACCTACCCAGGGAATGGGAGCGAGTATTCATGAGGCCAAAAAAGGATTCGATTCTTTTTTGTTTTGCCGCTTCACTTCTCGCTCCGCTTGTCACGGTGCATTTTACGTGGAAAATGTAAATTTATATTTGCACATAAATGACAGAAATGTTTATGTTGATAGCCCTTCGGAAAACCATACGTTGAATGAAATAAATGCAATGAATGTGAAAAGGTTTTGGGATGATGATATAATTGGATAATGGTTTTATTTAGTTCATTTGAACTTGGGAATTTCTATCATTCATTTTTGATTAATTCTGTAAGGTTGATTTATTAATCATACGGTTACTTCAATAAGCTAAGAATATATTTGTAAGATTTCTTCTTACCTAGAATTTACATTAATATTGAATATTAATAATTATAATATAAAGGTTATAATATCCAGCCAAATAGCTATTAAAACTATTAAATTATAGTTAATTATCTACCACACAATTTCCTGTACCAAAACAAACCCATCTTCACTCATATATATTTACCTATAATATTTGCCAATTAGCTAATTTATTATTGATTTATGTATGTATTTATTTAATTATTATTTTTGGTTCAGCCGCTGTGGCATTTGCCATTTGCAGTCGTTGTCCTGCCGTTGATAATTTGCATGGCGCCAGGATAACCATGACAGTATCGGTAATTGACTTCACCCGATATCATCTCGGTGCTGGTCGTGGGTTTTGGGGCTCTCTCGACCAGACACAATTATGTATATGAACCTGGTAATAATGTGCCCATGTTTAGGATGCCTTAAATTATGCAATATGACAGCGGGAGATATTGAAAGACTTTTTCAACCTTTCTTCCTGTTGTTGTTGTTGTGTTCTTTTTTTCTGTCCGTTGTAACTGTTGCCATTTGGAAATCACACAGAACGTGACCAGAAATTAAATTGTAGCACATTTGGAGCTTTATAAAAATTTCACAGAAAATGAAAAATAAATCCCCAAAAAGAGCCACAGTGCACACAACGGAAAAAAAACAGTGCTGCTCCATATAAACACACACACACACCCACATAAATAAGGAAGTACGACTGGGAGCAAAAAATGTGTCATGACGAGAAGGGGAAATTGACAGGATTTGGTCGGCCATTCACCATTCGCCATTCGCCATTGGACTTTGGGGGCAAACAAAAAAAATATATATATATATAAAAATAAAAATAGATTTTAATATATTTTATGCACGTGGCCCTTCTCACAAACAATAACTATGCAGGTGATGTCAGAGAATTCGTCAAAAATGAACATGTTATACTGGCAACACCCACGTCCTGTCCATCACCTTCCAACGCCCGGGCACGCTCCGGCGCATAAATTGCTAATATTGTTGAGTGCGTGCACACAGCCACACATCCTGGCAGAACTGCATTAGATGCCGTCAAACGGGTTGCTTGCTTGTCCACTGTCTGGAGAAGGAGCTTTTCCACTAAATCCTCCATACCCTATTTTTTCCTCCCGCTTTTCTATTCCTTAATGCTCCAAACTTGAAATTGTAAAATGCTGTGCACCAAAAGCAAACAAAAAATGTGGTTTCAAAACCGAAATCTCAAGCACTCTAAGTTCAAATTAAACCAACTTACAGTTAGAGTTATTTAGTACAAATATCATCACTTAATTAAAACCAGATGCTCTACTTCTAGCAATAACTAAACAAAAATTGTACACAGCTATAAAGAAAACACTATTTCTAAGAAACTCATTCGAGTCTCAAGCTAAATGTTGAGCCTCGGCTTAAGTACCCCTTCAACTAGGGCATAACAAGCTGTAAAAACTCATAAGCACAACTTGTGTGCAGTGAAGAGTAAAATGTACTCTGCAATTTTCTTTTGTAGCAAACCCCATTTTCCCCATTCCCTCCCCGAAGGAGCCGTAGAATTGCCTTTTGCAGTGCCAGCCAGCGAGCGAGCGCTGAAAAGAGTGCTACGTTTTTTGCGATGGACACATGCGTGGTGCCGCCGTGCCGCCGCATAATTATGCTCGCGTTGAGCCTTTGAAAGCATTATATGGTTCGCATAGAACGGGGTTTAGGGATTGAGGGATCTCTACGGTCATCCCTATTGGACATACATCGTCCGGAGGAGAGCAAAGAACTTGTACGATAACTGAAGAAGCTGAAAAATGAAGGAATTGAATACAACAGAAAGAGCCAATCATTGCCTTCCGATTCTTACATCAGTCAAGCTGACCCTGGTTATATCCAAAAAGATAGTGGCCTTCAAATAGGTTGTCTTCTGGGCTCTCGCCATTATGATGACCAGAGCTCGCTTGTATCTGATATCCGCATAAGTCCAGTTCTGATTGTAAGTGGCCAGCGATAAGTCAGAGCTCTGGTTAAATTAGTAAGACTTTAGTTGGTTTAACTATATAATTCATTACTTACAAACTCACCGCATCAGCAACCATTTGTCCATAGTGACAGATCAAGTATACCTGGCCCATCGAGCAAAACAGGAACAGGAGCAGCTTGATTATCATGTCCGACTGAACACCAACTGTCATCTGAAAACCTACAAAGCATATTACGAACGTGGAAACCATAAAGTTGAGTAGCAGTGGAACTCCGAACACATCGTTCACCACATCAGATAGCTTAAGAATCCGCTCGTGGTAATGAACTATATCCCGCAGAAATCGGGAATCCTTCTGCCAGTTTCCGCTAAGTAGGTGGTTCACCATAGTATTTGAAATGTTGTCAAAGTGCATTACCAACTGTGTGACCACAGCGACAAGAAGTAGATCCGTGGATATATGTCCAGCAGCCCCGGTGCAGCCCGCAAGGTTCTGAGAAAAGAGTATTAGGTAATAGGACCAGTTGTCTTCCCATTTCCAAGGAATGTACATGAGGTAGGCCAAGGTTTTGCCCACCACACGAACTTTCAGGCACTTCTCGTAGATCAAAAACTCCATAACGCTGAATAGGTTAAAGGTCCAAATGAGAACTGAATAGAGCATAGAGTAGGTGAGACTAATCCTTGAACAGGTGCGCAGGTATTTCGTAAGATTGTATTTCTCCTCTTGAACTTTGCCACGCGGATAGAGCTCCTCCAAGTCCCTCATCATTTCATCCCTTGCAGTCCTTCTCAAGCGAATGAAGAGTATCTTATTCATACCCACAGTTACAAAGCCTATATAAGACATCACAGTAACAGCCTCCAGGAGTTTCCCATTCTTAAAGGCGTTGGAGACGTAAATGACTTCACAGATTACATCCAGAAACATGTTGATTGTGATCGTCACAAATAAGATGCGAGCTCTCAAGTGCGCTTTTGCGTCAGGCAAATTCTTCGTATATGGTTCTATGCCAACGAGTAGATAGAAAAAGTTAGTGTACTTCAAGAACTTTTCCATTTCTAAAATTAGTTGTCTTTGCTGTGGGTTGTCCTTTTAAATGAATCCATGAAGAAATTGGCAGTAGTTTTATAGTCTTTTTTTGCAAATTATTTGACATGCGATGGAACTATTGATTACTGAATTAGAGGGCATTCTATACGACATAATTAACTAACCCCTTTTCAAGTGGTCAAGGACAAGGCCAACGATATGATATGGCCTGGAAACGATTCCAGGTGCACTTGAAATTTTAATTAGATAAACAGATAATAATGCACAATAAGTACATAAGCTTTTTAAATCAACCTTGATATTAAGACTTTGTTGCTGAAAATTTAAATATAAAAAGAGTAGTATTACGATTCTTCCATAAATATGTATTAGTCCATCTAATCTAAAGAATATATAAAGCTTTGAACTCTAGTTTTATAAATACGTGTATAAGAGACCGATTTCTTTATTTTATCATATTTTCCTAGTCATAACCAATTTTAAAGCAATATTACAGTAAACGTTAGTTAGTTTTCCCAACTTTACAATGGAATCCGGACACACGTTTTATTTGATAATAAGGTAATAAAAACACATGCAAGTTATTTTCATTCTTTTTATTATTTATGAATTAATTCTCTAATGCTTTGATGAAATTATTAAATACTTAATTAATAAGTTCCTGCGCATTTTCTTATCATTAGATTTAATTTAGCTGCATACATTTATTTGATGTACATGGTCCGGAGCAATGCAAAGAACTTGTAGGATATCTGAAGAAGCTGCAATAGTGAAACCATTATAAAAATCGATATTTAATTATATTATTGTAAGGCCTACTTCCGTCATGGTGGCTCTGGTTATGTTCATAAAGACAGTGGCCTTTAGATGGGTAGTCCTTTGTGATCGACCTATTAAGAAAACAAGAGCACGACGATATCGGACATCGGCATGGTTCCAATTTTGTTTATATGCAGCTATTGCTAGACCGGAGCTCTGAAACAAAAATAATATAAAACTTACAAGATTAAATATATAAATATACCCACTGCATCGGCAATCAACTGTCCATAATGACATATTAAATAAACCTGAGAAAGCGATGAGAATAAGAACAAAGAGAGTTTGATCATGATGTCCGGCGGCACACCCACGGTCATCTGAAATCCCACAAAGCAGATGACGAATGTCGAGACCATGAAGTTGAGCAATAAGGGTATTCCAAATATATCATTCAACACATCTGTGAGGCGGAGAATGCGCTGATGGTAGCGTACCATGTCCACCAGGAACCTCGTATCCTCGGCCCAAGAGCCACTCAAGTCGCGATTCTCCATCACCCTGGCCAGGTGATCAAAGTGCATCACCACCTGAGTGGCCACAGCGCAAAGCAAGAGATCCGTGGAGATCTGTCCCGCAGCCGAGGTGTGTCCTGCTAAATTCTGGCAAAATAGCAAGACATAATACCTCCAACTGCCCTCCCAGTTCCAGGGAAAGTACATGAGATACGGCAGAGTCTGACCCACGACACGGATCTTGAGCCACAGTTCGTAGACCAGAAACTGCATAATGCTAAACAGATTAAAAGTCCAAATGAGCACCGAGTAGAGCAACGCGTAGGTGAAACTGATCCGGGAACTGGAACGAAGGTAACTCTCCAGCCGATACTCCTTCTCCTGTACCTTGCCTTGGGGATAGATGTGCTCCAGCTCTGCGACCAAATCACTGAGATCCGGTTTCTTCCACCAGATGAAGAACATCTTGCTCATTCCCACAAACACGAATCCAATGTAGGACATTACGGTGACGGCATCGATGAGTTTTCCATCAGAGTAGGCGACTCCCAGATAGAGGAACTCCCCAAACACTATGACACTCAGGTTGATCACGTTGGTCCAGAAGAGAATGTTGGCCCAAACACTGCTCTTCCGCGGACTAGAGGCCTTGGTGTATGGCTCAATGCCCACTGAGGTGTAAAAGAAGATGGCGTATTTCATAAACTTCATTCTCCTTGAATAAACTGAACAAATGAGGACCTCGCTTAGTCCTTTTATAAATTTTCTTTCAAGGAGCTCGCAGCATTTGTTATGCCGACTAATGATATAATTATAGAACTGCTTACAGTTAATGCGGACTTACAATGCTTCTAATTTAGGGTTTCGTCCGAGACTTAATTATTGATTACGTTTACACAAAACCGCGGATAATTGCTGTGCCTAAGCAAACGCAATCACGATTCTCATCCCACCATTTCCAAACGTCGCCACTCGTCTGGGCTATACAATAAATCACTTGAAGATTGAATCCAACGGAAAGCAATCGAAACGTTTGAATAAATGCAATTCGAAAGCGAATCGCGGAGCCAGCGCATCAAATCTAAGAACCAGAGCCAGACCCGGTCCAATCCCAGTGAAGTGAAGTCGCGTTTTTTTCCGCTTGCACTTCAAATAAATTAAATCTTTTCACATTTCAACAAACCAGCTTGGCCAGAGCGAGAGCATATAAACAGAATGAATAACGCGCGCAGAACACGTTAGTCCAATTATACAGCGCGGTCTTAGCCAAGTCAAGTACAGTGAGCCCAAGAAAAAGTGCCACCGAATTCTGTAAATATATATTTTGGTTTTGGGGGTTCAAACAAATGCTGGAAAGGGAGGTGTTAAATTTGAAAGTTCTTGACTAAGTTAATGAAGAAATGCTTCAATGATTTACTAAGAACAGACTAACTTTGATTATTATCTAATATCTCAAATGTTTATAACTCAATTACAAATAAATTTAAAGATAACTTCAGCACAAGGCGATATAATTAGTTACTAGAAATCTAAGGCTGCTTAACAGATTAATTACGATTTATTCTTACTTATGTATATTCCTTTAAATGTCTAAGGTGTCTGTTTCTCCTGTTTTTAATTCTTTTGTATTTATATGCAGTATAGTAGGAAGCAGTTATAAACAATGCCATAATCCTTATTTTGCTCATCCTTGGACCTTAACGAGATAGGACTGTAGGCAGACAGCTGAGTGGTTCGATACTAAAATTCTGCGATGTGCGTTGCCCCACAAAAGTATGCAACGCAAATGCAAACACAGCGATTACAAGCAAAGAAGAAACGCGTGGGGTTTATGGAGGCAAATGCCACCGCAACTGGCCGAAAAAGAGATTTCTGGGCCAAATTGAAAGACAAAAGCCCTGAAATGTTGCTTCCAGCGAGTACAGCGAAACGAGCGATTTTTCCATTTTTGGCCATTTATCACGTATGGAAATTGAAGCGTGGGAGGTAAAAAAAAAGAGGCGTATCAAGCGACCAGAAGGAGCAGAAGGAAGACGAAGACAATGGCAAAAAGAGTGCGAGGACCTGTACAACTTGGAACTTGAAATACAATTAAAGCTTTGGGACCCACTGGCCGGCGAGCCGCAAAAAACTTTTCATGTCTCAAGTCTCAAATCTCAGGTGAAGAGCCATGTGGGGTAGCCGGGCTTCCGGTTCCTGTGCACCTCTACACCTGCTTCCCCCTCCTCCCATGTATCAAGCCAAAGTTATACACACACACACATATATACTACTGAAGTTTAGGTGGACTTCGAGGGGTGTGTGCAGGTGGGCAGCAGCGCAAACTTCGTGGAAAAGTTTTATGAGCAGCAAACTAATTTCGTTTGACTTTGCTCCGGGGATATTGCACCTTGGCTGGGATGTCGGGAATTGATTTTGGCCGCAGTTCCTTCTCTCTGTTGACGTTGTTGTTAGCCCCCCTCCGAGTAGACACATTTGCATACGGAAGCCCAGAGTGGAGCTCATCCCCACATTTGGATGAAGAGGTTCAACTATCTCAATTTACTAACTGGCAAGCACATCTACATCTACATACATACCTGCTGCTGATGTGTGGCAGCTGAGCTTTACTTAATGAACTGCACTATCTCAACCATTTCAATCTTTTAATTAACGTGCTCTCAATTAGTACACGAATATCCTTTAAGAATCTACTCTACTAGTCCCAAAAAAAAACCAAAAATTTAAGCAACCAAAGCCAATAAGGACCTTCTGCTCTTCAATATTTCTCCCATTCCAAAATTTCGTAGCTGAAATATTTTAGCTCAGTTCCATAACTAAGTGATGCTGGCAGTATCTTCTTTTTCAATCATATTCACTGTCACCAAACGTGCTGTAATTCAAATCTATCTTCTGTCCTGACACCCAGCACCCATAGGAATATCGAAATGCCATTTGAAGCACTTACTCCTTATTCAGCAAACAGTTTGAAAATAAGGGGGTTCAACATCAACTGACTTCAATTTCCAAAGGCAACAATCGAGGAGGATGGGGATAAAAAAGAGGGCGCAGAGTCAGAAGGCAGAAGCTGCACATAATCCATTGTTAATTTTACATTTGGTAACAACTTCCGCCCGACAAGTATCTGGCTGGCATTGCGGCAGTTGTCTTTCGGCTATGTGACATTTGACACATTTACTCCCACGCCAAACAGTCGAACATGTGTGACTTTTCTCTGGGCCAAGGAAAACAAAAAGGGTTGGGGTTGGGTTTGGGGTTGGGGAAAATGTCTGTTTTGGCACTTGTTCGTTAGCAGCCGCCGCAAAATTTCTATTTTGATGTGAAGTCAGTGCGGTCTGCTCCACATTTTTGGTTTTGCTGGGAAAAGTGGAAAAGTGGCGGCAATGGGGAAATGGGGCAAGTAGTCTTTATGGTTTTTGGCTGACTCCTGGCCACAGCTATTGATGATTCCCATGGGACCTGACCGGCACACAAGGTTTCGGTTAACCGACTGCTGATCAGGGGTCGAATTGGGGGAAATAAACGAATGGAAGCAATTAATAAAATAACAACTTTGTGCAAAATTAATTGTGTATTATGCAAAAGGCTTGCTAATGGCAGGATATGCATCAACGTACGCTGCTGGTCCCCATAAAATATTACAGTGACGACAATGTCTCCGCCAGCCATAGATCCTGCCTACTAGGACTCTTCCTGCTCCTGCTCCTGCTGCTGCTGCTGCTGCTGTTGTTGTAATGGCCTTGCGCACCAATGAGCAAATGAACAATTTATTACCGCTTAATTGAACACATTTGGACGCAACCACACACACACACACACTCCACAAAGGACCTAAACAAATGGCCACATGCAGGCGGCATCCTGAACAGGACCTCCGCATTAAGCAATGCCAGAGGGGATAGCGGTTTCGGACCAGGATAAATGAGCCCAAGACAAGTCTATAAATGCTGAAGCACTTGGACAGGAGCTGGAGGTGCTGTGCTGTGGTCCGGCAACTCAATGAGCCTCAGCCCCGGCACGAGCCCAGACGCAATCCCAATCCCGATTTTGAGAATCCGTTTCGTGTACTCGGTTGCATATTAAACGCACGCCTCGCTGGCCAAATTGATTCCTAAGTGGCTGCCGGATTGACAGCTCCAGGTTCTGTCCCTGTGTGCCCTTTTCTCGACCGGCGATTACGACAATTATGCTGCACTCGACCTGCAACCTGCAACCAGGAAGCCGGTGCTTGGAACCTTCAACCTGCTCGCAATCCGGGCTAATTGCCCATTGAACCCCAAAGAAAGCGAAAGACCCGGGCTTAGATTAGCAGCCACAATATGGCCGGGATGGGCTAGCAGCTCACCTTTTAAGTGCCTACTTAGCGACACGTCAGAAACAAAGATTTATGCCGGGATACGGATACGGATGTCGAGCGCCGAAACACCTCGAGTAAATTAAGTGAGTGCCAGGTCCTGACAGAGTCAAGTATGTTTGATATACATGGCACTCCCCCGGACTAAGCCGCGGTAAAAACAGGGGAATCACACAAAGCGGCCGCAATTTCGTTAAGCATTTGAGCGGCAAACAGAAGAAATGAAGCTACGCACAGACCGCACATCCCTGGATGGGAAGGTAGGGCAGGTAGGCAAGAAAAAGGACTCCCACTCCATCTGCTTAGGCCGAATATTCGTCCTGAATGAACTACTTAAGCGCTTTTGGCTTTACAAAATAAGCCATGCCACAGGTAATGGCAAAAGCAACAAGAGTGGGAGCTGCCAAGAGTGGGAGAAGCTACAAACAATAACGAAATATTTTGTATATCCGTTGTGCCGCGAAAACCGCACTGAAAGAGCTTCCTTGTACTGGAAAATAAATTGGGGGGAGATTATCAATTCTTAGTAAATAATGTTTGGATTTTACTATTTAAAAAATTATTATAAAATAAATGTTTCCTTATATATATATGACATCATATAAAGACATATCTTCTGAGATTTATTTAAAATTTATGTATATAGACAAATATTTCCAGATACTATTTGAATCGCAGTGCATCCGCAAATGAAAAGGAGCTGGCGGAAACGGATGGTGGAATCGAAAGTGGAATAAGAGGTGATCCAGGGACAGGCCCAGTTACACTTTATGAACTACAGCCGAAAACCAATTGATTGCACAGGCACCGAGTCTTTGGCAGCGTTTCCCTACCAGCCGAGGAAGACTGTCTGCCATCTGCCTGTTCGAATGGTAAACAATTTGGCAGGCCAAGTGCTTTGGCAGTGAGGCAGCCTGAGTTGATTGTGGCACGCATTGTGGCCTCAGAGGTTGCCACAGGATTCGCAAATGAAAATTTCAACCACGCGTAGGCTGGAGACCGCAAAAGCGACTCTTTAGCTTTGTCGGATAATTTTCAGCCAATTAAGACACTCTCTCTGGGAAGAAAATGTTATTTTAATAAACCAAAATAAAAATAGCAGTCGAAGAAAATTAGATTTCGGTTGAACCACTTTAACTTTCGATTATTGGCAGAAGTTTGGATTCGGAATATAACTTCTTTATATGCTTAACTGGAAGAACTGAGAAATGTTTCTTTCGGCTTAAAAAAAAAGAACGAAAATAATTGAGAATTTGTAAAATATGTTGTAAATATTACTACATATAATAGATGAAAACTTTTGCTCAATATATAAATATTTAATAATTAATTTTAAATAAGAAAGAAAATGTTTGCGATGGCCCCCCAAACTACCAACATATTTCTCAAATTTGTATACCCTTGCAAAGTATTATAATTTTAGTCAGGAACTTGAAACGAATTGAAGGAATCATTTTTGATACTATAAATCATATATATTCTTGATCAGCATCAACAACAAAGCCGATATAGCTATGTTTGAAGAATTTTTAAAAATTGATAAAAATAGAATTTTTAAAACTTAGAATTGAGTACAGATTTATATAACTAATAAAAACTTACAAGAAAAGCTTTCCAAATTGAAATTAATGCTTTTTTGACTTAGTTATGAGTTTTATAAACTTTGTTTTGTCGAAAAAATTATTGGCATTTGAAGCTTAGTTATGATCGATTTCCGCTTCAATCTTATTATTTAAATGCTAAGCTTAATTTTTAACTAGATTAATTTATCTTTAAACTTTAAAATCTGTAAACTATTCTTCCTAAAGACACACATGGCGTATACTTAACGCAAACGTTTTCACGTTAAGTATACGCTAAAGTGCTAAAGTTTTCTGAAATCGAGGACTATTAGTATACACTTACAGGCTTTGTAAATAAGTGAAGAAGTCATTTCCGACCCTATAAGTCATATATATTCATGATCAGCATTGAGAGCTGAATCTATCCAGCCATCTTAGGAAGAGTTACGAAATTTTTAATTTTTTCAAAATTTTCAATGGGGTTACATCGTTATTTTAAAATATGATAAAAAAGTTAATTTTCTTAAATTTAAAATTGATTATGCAGATTTTTAAACATAATAAAAACTAATATAGTAAAGCTACCAGAATTAAAATTAATGCTTTATTAGCTTAGTTATGAGTATTTCCAACTTTGATTTGTCGAAAAAAAAAATTGTGACATTATTATCAATTCAAAGAATGCAAATATTTTAAACTTTGTTATGACAGATTTTCGATTCGTTCCTTTAATTCAATTGCAAACTAAACTTCGACACCCTCAGTTAATTTCTCTTTTGTTTTAGGTAAAATAATGAATGAAGTTAAACTATAATAATTTATTTATTTTTTAAATTACAAATATACCAGAAGCGAATTGCTTTTTAATTTAACTAACTTCCAAGTGTTTTTTTTTTAAATGTTTAACAGCCTCTTCAATATTCAAACCTGCGCGCACTATCGAGTGCCTAATATCGCAACGCGCACACCAATCGAATCCCACCACGCTATCGATATATCGATTGGCGAACGGGCGCAGCAGATGACCAGTAGTTGTTTTCATTTTATTGTTTACAAAACGCGCAATTGCCTTGTTAGACACGCCGATAAAAGTGAGATAAACGCTGCTGCTGTGACAAAGGGAATTATGCAGCTGACGGCCTGCTAACGGGCGAAGCGGCTGCTGGTTCGGAGCAGTGGAATCGAAGGAACTAAATCCACGGTGCCGCCCCAGCGACCACTTGTTGTTGTTGGTCGGTTGGACTTTGCTGCGCCGCTCTCCATCTGCGTCTACATATAGTACTACATACATATATACTCGGCCGATTCCATCCAATGCAAGATACGGAACACTCACGGAGCAGGGGCATACACACAATCCGGAATCACAGCAGGCGCTGCACGTCACTCGCTTCATCTCGTTAATCTGTCAAATTATCATTCCGAAATTCGGTTTCGTAGCACACTCGACTCTGCCAAGCCAATCTCTGTGGAAAGCAGCCTCATACCGGAGTGCCAACATAGGCCGTATCTCAAATCAAGCAGCGAACAAATCGGCGATTAGGCATCGATCACTTTATTGCCGCAATCAAGTGTCCAGTAGTTGACTCGTGAGTACCTCTCTAGCCAGTAAGTAGTTCGACAATGGAGATTAGCACCGTCCCAGACCCCCATCGACTCCGTATCTCGCCGAGCCGTTGCGCAAAGATCTCGTCTTGACCCGGAGGCCAGTGACTTGTGGGGTCCGTTCATATTTCCTATGCAAATCGCAAGCGGGGAAAGTAGATAGTGCCAACTGGCAGAGAAATTGATTTTGATACAGCAACAACCTTACTCGCAATGTGTAATCTAATGTAGCCTAGGTTAGTTTTATCTGAGTTATTAATTACTATCTTATAATACTTACACAAGAAAGAGCTCTTATCTAACGTGAGCTTAATCCAAAGTATTAAATACTATAGAAAGCTACAAATGTCATAGAAGTGAACCAATAAATACCGAAGGTGTTCACTATTTATAACCATCGTAATTTCTAGGACAGTAATATAGTATTTTGCTTTTTTGTTGTTTTTTATACCCTTGACGGTTATAATTTTAACAGAGTAGTCAACCTTTAAACTACTAGTTAATAGCATGAACAACCCAGTCAATGTAGCCATACCCAGAGTTGCATATAGTTCCTATACGCATCAATTTTCTGAACCAGCTATAAAAATGGTAACCCGACTTTATTTGATTTGCTACCCGACACCAAGTGATTAGAATACCCACTTCCAGAAGCTTTTTCTACCGCATAGAGTACCTTTGCTCTTGCTGCGTGCAAATCCCCCGCGACGGCTAATCACATATATATCTTATCGATAGACAGCAGTAAATTGTCACAGATACCCGGTAACCACCTGTAATCCACCAACCTAACTTCTCAGGCTAGATTCGCGAGAACCAGTCAGTTCTGGCCTGGCCAGCAGCAGGTGCAGTGCGTCCTCTGCGAAATTAAAAAATACAAAACATTTAAAAAAGCAAAGCTGAATTTGGGGCTTTTTTCAAGTTCAGTGGAACAACCGATAGCGTAGAAAGAAGAATAATAACGCGCCAAACACTTGTAGCCTGCAGATAAGATTAAAGGTTAAGAAACGGACTCGGACCCGGACACCCCATGTGTAGTGACTAACGATTCAAATTGATTTCGGCCACCCACTAAATTGTCGATTTAAATTGATTAAAAGTAATCATTTTCACGATGAATTGTTTTTCTTTGTTATCGCCAAACAGATTAACCTTCCACGATGGCAGGACAAAGTAAACTGATTAACCCATTGTGCATCACCTGTAAGGATTTCCAGCACCCTTGGACAGACAATTGTATGAGCGCCACTGCTGGGATCCTCCTTTCGGCCACACCTTACTGCCTCCGTGTCTACACTGTCGTCTATGCAATCTCCTTGCTGATGCGCCACAAAGTGCCGAGCTTGGAAGATCTGCGGCGTACCCTGTTGGGAATTATACAGTCGACAGCGTTTTTGGTTACCAACGCCTACACCTTTATCCTATACAATTGTTTACTGCGAAACGTGTTGGGCCGCTATCACTTCTCCACGGTGGCTTTTATACCGTGTTTTTTCGCCTCGTTTAGCGCCATTCTGGTCGAGCGTCCTGCCCGCCGACCACTGCTCACACTGTACGTGGCGAACGTGGCCACTGAGTCGTTGTGGAAGATGGCCGAGTCACGAGGTTGGGTGCGTTCCATACCCCATGGCCAGACTCTCATCTTTGGCGTAAGCATTGCTGCTCTACTCTACCTCTATCGACTGGGCATTTCCAAGGATTCCATCTTCAACATTCTCCGCATCTTTGTGGGCAAAGAGGAAGCAGGACCGGTGACCAAGGCCGAACCACTCGTTCCAGGCGACCAACCAGCTCCCTCCCGACACCGCCCCACCGTCAGCTTCTCCTCGGTCTCTGACTGGGTGCGAGTCTACAGTAATCTGATCCGCGCAAAGCACGAAAGCTGTGGACACCAGCAGAGCTGCATAAGCTACTCGGTAATGGGAGGTATAAAACCTTTCGTTGGAGGAGTGGCGCTTCAGGTGGCCCTCAAGATGGTGATGAACATGAAGCGCATAGTTGCCGGAAAGATGCCGTGGAAAAAGCAAGTCTTCAACCGGAGTACCTTGCAGTTGGGAATGTTCATGGGCAGCTTCTCCTTCCTGTACAAAGTAAGTAGCGAACATTGGCGTTCTATTGATTAGTAGTAACTTTTTTATCTTTACAGGCGGTATCCTGCCTGCTGCGTCATAGTTTCAATCGAGATGATGCCAAATTTGCTATTCCAGCTGGATTAATTTCTTCCATAGCCTTCACCATGTATCCGGACAACACAGTGGCCTTGTATGTCATGTGGAAGGCGCTGCAGGTAGGCTTATATTGTGTTCAGAGATTGAATAAGTAATGTATCATAAATTCTTCCTTGCAGATCCTTTGTGCCAAGGGCCAGGAGCGGGGCATCCTGCCACACGTCCCACACTTTATGCTGTTCCTGTACTCCTTCTTTACCGCCGTGCTCTTCCACACGGGCATCTTGGAGCCCAAGAGCCTGCGCCCTAGCTACTACAAGTTTCTGCAGGCCATCTCTGGCGATAGGTAAGTAATTCTTGACCATAGTGCGTAAGCATTAGATTAACGATCCCCCTTATCTTTGCCAGACTTAGCAGGTTTAATCTAAGCGCCTTCGACGTATTCGGTCTGGGCAGTCAGCAACAGGCGCTGGACACTATTAAGGCTCTCAAAATCGTGGAGAAGGGACCCCTGCCAGCCTTCCCATTCGCTACCTGAGCCAACATTAGCGCGCGTCTTGCGCATGTACAGTTAGTTAGTCAGTCGTCTTGGTAACGGCCTCACCCTACATATCTCCATATATCCATTAATCTACGTTTGATAGCTATGTATATATATACGACAAGAGTCTCTCGCTCTCTGAGAGCGTTCAACGATTACTATACGAAGCAAGTGTAGGTGGATTATAATTTATGTTGACTGTTTGTCTTGATATCAGTTCTCGTTTTATCAATAAAACTCAACATGATAATTAGAAAATAAAGATATATGGTAGTTTCTGGGGGATATGAATACAATATCATATTTTACCAAAGACTACTAAGGTTCTTTCAAATTGTAGAATAAGGAAACCAGAACATCCCTAAGGCCTTTAAAAGCTTTGAAGCTATTTCTTGGACTAGTGCCTGTTTAAATTGTATGGAAATTAGCTTTCTTCGCCGGTTGGAATTTTGAAATGTTGATAAGGCACCCCGGCTGTGAAGTACGTAGCGTAAACAAACCGCAGCGTGTGTGCGATAGCCATAGCACTAGACGCACTTATTCCGAATAACTTGCTGCGATTGGTAACCCACGACACACCTGGTGACTATGGCTTATGTGAAACGCCAAGTGTGCGTAAACTCTCGTATCGCAAGTCTATCGTATTTTTTGCTGGCCAAAGTAGGTGGATGACTAAAGGCTAATATAAGAAGAGACCCAGCTAAAAATATCGGAAACCTAAAGCTAAACTGATAATATTTAACACAAAACAGTGTATGTTCTGGTTAGCCATGAAAATTGGGATTAAGGGGCCTCATTTGCACCCATGTTATTTATAGTTATTTATGGGATAATGGTGATTAATTACCTATCCAGGTGATTTCATACAACTCAATGAGATCCGGTTATGTCCAGCAGCTTATGCTGTTTCCACAGTGTCCAACAAAAATGAGACTGCTCTACGATCTGTGTCAGTCCTCCCGGATCGGGCCAAAATACAGACATACTGTCTGCCCCCTGGTTTATTCAATGGGACTCATCTGACTGACCATCGCTTCGATTCGCTATTTTTCGCTTCGTAAATGGAGCTTGAAGCGCGACCGACCACCGCAGACGATCACCAACACAGAGAAACTGATAGCATATTTTATTATATTCAAATTATTATTATAGTTCGGCACCATTTCCTCCGATTACCTTTATCACCCGTCTGGTGGTAGCAATTCCATAATCGCAGTTAATATTAAAAGTGGAGTCATGGCGGCACAAAGCAAATTGGCTGAGATCGCCTTCAATTGTACCTGCCAGGAGTACATACATCCCTGGACCTCGAGCTGTGTCTGCTCGGCAGCTGGAATGATACTGTCCATATTTCCATCGAGTCTGCGCGTTTATGGAGCTGTGTATCTGGTAAGTGTAAAAAAATCGGTTAAAAATTGTGGCTTATATATTTATAATTGAACATTAAAGATAATTCTTTGATAACTATAATGCTTCAGAAGTGTTCCACAAATTGTGTAGCCTACATTTAGGCATGCTTCAGTAAAAAATTCTATCCCCTTATTCTTTGGACAAGAGCAGACTTCTATAGTTAAAAACCTATTGATCAAAGGAAGCCAGGGATTTAGTGATCTTAAATCGCTTCTATATGAATCCAGTTGTTGGTAGGAAAAGTTAGTGCTAGTACGAGACCTCAACGAGCAACTTTACTAAATGAAAAAAAAAACAAATTTCCAAAAGAACAAGTCATTCTTCAAATGTTAAAGCAAATACAAAAAAAAAATATTTTATTTGATTTTCATGAAGTGCAATAAAAAGGAAACCACAGGTGAGGAGCACCTTGAGCGAAGTTGCCGCCTGAAAATGGACATTATCCGCGGCCTGGTAAGCGGACAGAATCGTTCCAAGGACCGCATCCTTTGCGAGAATTGGTTTAATTTCCTAAGTCTCTCTGCTAAGCACGAGGCCAGGGCACGCGATTGTGTCCTGGATCAGATGGTTCGGCAACTGCAACAGATTGGCCATTTGTCGCATCCCTTCACAACTCCAGGCATCTGTGGTACTGACCTTCAGCAGCTCCTGGACGAGAAGGGGCGCCAACGATTATTCCGCCTCAGTAATCAGGAGAGGGTCGCTTCAAAGCCCTCTAGGGGCAAGAGAGCGTCTCCTTTCGTTTGGCGCCAGAAGATTCAGCACCTGGATACTCTGGAGGAGCATTACCGACGCGAAGAGCAAGAGCTATGGCATAATGAGGTTTCGGTTAGGTCGCTGCCCAAACTATATACCGGAATCAAGGAGGTTGGGATCCAAGTCGGCTTACCTATGCCAATCCCTCGCGACAACCGCGGTCTCTTGGATCGAGCACCCAAAAAGCAGCAGCCAAAGGAGCAACGAGATCGAGAGCAAAATCGTGGTCAGGATCATAATCTCTCAAAGGTTGCCGAGCGACGCCCGTGAGCTTCGCGAGCGTCATCTGCTCGAGCAGCAACTTAAGGTTAAGAAGCAACGTGAACACGAGCGTAATCTGATGAAAAAGAAACGGGAAGCACAAAGTCCTCGCCTTTCATTCCAAAAGGATCAGGAATCTAAGGCTCTACCTCTGAGCCAAAAACAGGATAAAGCTAAAGAGGGCGGCGGGGTGAATATTGAGTGTGAGAGGGAAGTGAAAAAGAAAGAGCCAGACACCAGGAAGCATGTGAAATTCCAGCCAAGTCAGAGGATGTATGTTCTGCCCCATGTTGCGAAATCTGTGCGTTTCGAGGACCGTGGACTACAAGCCGCTTTGCGAGCGGAGGAAGCCATGCTCAAGGTGATGGCCTATGAAGACCTAAAGGAGTACCACCGCAAAAAAGCTGTGGCCGAGCGAGTGCGTCTGGCGAATGAGCGGTTGGCTGCTGGAAAAGACGAGCGGCGCAGGGACGTCGAAAAGGCGAAAGGGAGAGGTTACAAGGACCAGTTTAAAGTGCAGGAACCCCAAAGGGATAAAACGACATATCCACTGGAGATGATCAATCAGAGAAAGATTAAGAAAGAATACACCAAGAGACAGCAAAGTAAAGAAAGAGTACAAAATAGAGAGCAAGACGAAATAAATGATAAAGAGAATGAACCACAAGAAGAATCAGAACCAAGACAAAATAAAGTCGTACAAAGACTGCCCCAAAAATCCATCGATCTTCAAGAGAAATATGAACAAAATCCGACACAAGAAAAAGAAAGGATGAAGGAATCAAAGACTAAACAAAAGTTTCTAACAGAGCCAGAGCAGATCACTAAAGAAATACCAGAAAAACCAACAAGCCGGAAGAGTCCTTTAACGGTTCAGTTAGAAGAGTACTTACCCACGCAAGAAGAAAAGAGGGTGCTAAAGAAAATTATTAAAGAACTTGTCAAAAAAAGTCGTAAGAAAATTATGGAGGAACAGCCCCATGATACCGAAGGTGCTGTTCGTCAAGTGCATGATGAATTCCTTAATAAAATCCAGCAGATATGTCAAGAGAGAGAGCTTAAATCAGGATCTGAAAATCTCCAGGAAGAGGAGAACCTGCTTACGAAGCATGTCCGTGCCAACTCTGAGGAAATACAGAAGCAAAAGCATTCGAAAAGGACAGAAGAGGGATCCTCGGGAAAAAGCGACTTTATTACATATTCCTGGACAAAGGCTAGAGAGAACCGTAAGCAAACAAAACTCATTAGGGAGAAATGCTTGCAGGAGATTCAGGGTACTAAGGCTATAATACAGAAGATACAAAATGCGGCAGAATTTTCAACAACTGAAATTTCGGAGAATGAAGGCGAAGATAGACCTCTTTTGCATCCCAAAGAAAAGCGTGGAGATTTGGTACAGACTTCCAAGGATCAACCTCTTGAAGCCCGTTCAAGCGACAACTACTGTCCCTTCACAAACACCTTGAAAAAGGGCGAAGAGAACCGTAAACAAACAAACCTCCTCAGGGAGAAATGCTTGCAAGAGATTCAGAATACTGAAGCTATAATGCAGGATATTCAAAGTGCGGCAAAAGATTCAACGACTTTATTTTTGAAGAACAAAGACGTTGACCAAACTATTTTTCAGCCCAAAGAAATACGCGGCGATTCGATTGAACCGCACAAGGATCAACCTTTTCAATCTGGTTCCAGCAACAACTACTTTGCACATACCTTGGAAATGGCCGAAGAGAACCGTAAGCAAACAAACCTCCTCAGGGAGAAATGCTTGCAGGAGATTCAAAATACTGAAACTATAATGCAGAAGATTCAAAATGAGGCAGAAGATTCAACGGCTGCTCTTTTTAAGAATAAAGAAAATCCCAAGGATCAACCACTTCAATTCGGTTCCAGCTACAATTACTGTCTCCTGTCAGACTCCTGGAAAAAGGCTCAAGAGAACTGTAGGCAGGCAAATATAATCAGGGAGAAGTGCTTGCAGTCGCTTCAGGATATAGAGGATACAATACAGAGAATTCAAAATGATGAAGAAGATTCAGCGATTGCATCTACTTTGCACCCCATGCAGATATGTAAGGATCAACCAATCGAGAAGATTTATTTTAAGGAACCAGAGAACTCTTCATCATCTGATGAAGATTCGCATCGATATTCGGCTAATATCGTTGTATCCTATTGTACCAAAACTGGTAGGAAGCGTTATCCGCACATCAGACAAGATAGAACCATTCAAAAGAGGAAAGAGATTCTCGGTCGTCAGACATTCCCTCAACTCATAATAGGCTCAAGCCCAACTGAATTCACTCCCCAAACCCTATCTGGCCAGAATAATATTTTACAATGGAAGTTTTCCGTCGCAAAGACGATCGCATTAAACAAACATATTCAGGAATCTTTGATGCTGGAAGCTGAGCGATTGATCAATATTTTTCTGTATGAAAATATGCCGCCCGGGCATATTTTCCGAACCCTTGTAGATCCCCTGATTCAAGGCGTTGAAAATATTTCGGCTAAACTCCTGGAGGCCATTACCCTTATAGATAACCAGCTGGAGGCACATCTTAGGAACTTGTGCAAATGTACTTTCGAAAAACCAAGTGTTCAAGAGAAGGAATTGAGCGGACTGGGACGTGAGCGGCACCTGGTATTCCAATTATTATACGATTTTTGCAACTTGGATCCAAAGCTTAGCAAGACCCTCCATACAATCGATCAGCTCTACGAAAGGTGGAAATATCAGCGGCTTAACTTGCAGTGAAAACCAAACAATTTAATGGTGGCCTTCTGGAGGAAGTAATTTTGTTAGTTTATGTTTGTTATTTTTGGCACTAATTTTGTTTTTTTAAATTGATTTATAATAAATAAAATACACATGCAAAAATTATATGAGAAAGTCTGTTATCATAATATAAACAAGCATAAGATGCAGGCTAATATAAAACCCTTATCAATCTTATTGCAGATGGCTTTGATCCTTAGGGGCCGAATCCCATCGCTCAAGGACCTTGGACGCACCGTAGCTGGCGTCGTACAGTCGGCGGCGTTCCTCTCATTAAATGGCAGTTTCTTTATCCTTGCCATTTGCCTGGTAAGACAGTTGCTGGGTGGATTCTACTTTAGCACCGCTTCCTTGATACCTTCCCTCTTGGTTGGTTCCATATCGCTGTTCGCCGAGCGACCAGAGCGGCGGGCTCCACTTGCCATGTACGTGGCCAATGTGGGCATTGAGACTCTTTGGAAGATGATGGAAGCCCGAGGATTGGTTCGATCCATTCCCAACGGCCAGGTGCTCATCATGGGACTGAGTATTACAGCCTTGATGTACATGTACCGTGCTGGATTGCACAAAACAGTGGCCAAAGATCCCACCTTCAAGGGCCTGGGCATAATAGTGGGCAAGGAGGAGGAGGGACCTGTGAAATCTCCGACGGTGACCACCTCTCAGAGCTCTCGTCAGCGACCTCTCAACTTTCGCAGCATCACCGCTTACCTGGAGCTGTATGACCGCCTCCTAACCACCAAGCATCCCAGCTGTCCACACAAGAGCGGTTGTGCAAAATATGCCGTCCTCGGTGGACTGAAGCCTTTCCTGGGCGGCGTGGGTCTCCAGGTGGGCCTCAAGCTGCTGCTCAACATTCCCAAGATAATCAAACTCAAGATGCAGTGGCGCAAGCAGATCCTCAATAAGGGATCCCTGCAATTGGGCCTGGCTCTGGGCATCTTCTCGCTGCTCTTTAAGGTGGGTTAATCAAATTTTATTCTGTCTGAAAATATAAAATCTTATCGGTTTCTTTCCAGACCACTTCCTGTGGCCTACGCCATAGCTGTGGCTACGACAGTGCTCTCTTCGCCATTCCTGCTGGCCTTCTGGGCTCGATTGGCCTGCTGTGGTTCCCCAATAACACGGTGGCCTTATATCTGATGTGGAAGTCCTTGCAGCTTCTGTACAACTGGGGCGTGGCCGAGGGCAGGGTTCCCGAGGTGCCACATTTCGCAATGATCATGTATGGCATTTTTACGGCGGTGCTCTGCCACGCCACTATATTGGAAGCACAATCCATGAGGCCCAGCTACTTTAAGTTTATTGAAACCATTTCCGGGGGCCGCCTCAGCAGGTTCAATTTGAAGTCCTTTGAGGCTTTTGGAGTTGGGAGCCAGGATCAGGCTAACCAAATGATCAAGAAACTAGGCATTGTCTGGAATTCACCCTACCCGAGATTCGCACTGACTGTCTAGAATATTTTACTTATTATTGAACCGACCACCTTATCCACATGAATGTAAATAATATTTTAAGAATAAAAAATAATTTTTAGTCGCTCCATTTTACATATTTTGATATGATTTGATACACGTTACATATTTTGATATAATTAATTGGGCCGGAAGTAATGTCTTCACTGCGTAGAAAGCTTCCAAAATAACAATATCCTGAAAAGTTATAAAAACTATTAAATGTATGCATAATGATAAATTCTGTATTGTTTATTTATTAAGATAAAGTTTAAAGTTTGCAAACGTTGTGATATTCTGACCTTATAAACCATTTCCAACCCTATTCTCGATCAGAATCAACAGCCGAGTCGATCTAGAGCATGTTTAGCAAAAAACAAAATGTACTACAATTTTTCAAAATTTTAATCGTTCAAATTTAAAAAAATTTATAAAAATTTCAATTTTTTTAAACTTTAAATTTATTACGCAGATTTGTTGGCATTCTAAAAACTAGAAGAGCAAACCTTTCCGAATTGAAATTAATGCATTTTTGGCAAAGTTGTAAACATTTTAGGATTTGGCTGCCTGATCCAAATTCAAGCTGCAAGAGTATACGAACTTCGACTACCCCAAACTAAGTTATCTTTTTTGCTTTTTTAAATAACAAACACAATTATCAACCTCTTTCAAAGAGAACCCAATGCGGAAGTAAGAGAATTCCAAGGCCATAAACGCACATGTAGCCGAACTCTTTGGGAGTGTTGATAAGAATTCCCACCAGCTGGAGGTGACGCAGCGTCAACAAACCGATCGGCCATCGAATAGCCAAAGTTAACTTTCGGCTCGCGTGGATGCGATAAGACCCGCATCGCATCCGACGCACTTCAGGCAAGGCACTTGGGTGGAATTTGGGGAGAGGGCTGATTACGGCCGGAATGGAATGGAATGGAGCTCCTAAGGTGCGTCCCCACGCGGCTCTCACTTGTCCAAATGGTGGTTGGGGCGACGGCACTCAGTTCTATTTGATGGCCAACCAGGCCCGAACGTGATCCCCGGAAAGGAGAAATTGTTAGATTAACTCGTCTAATAAGTTCTTAAAATTTGTGAATATTTATACAATTGAGACTTGGAATTATATACTTCGATTCCTATTTAATAGTACGAAATTACATTATTTTGTATATATTTTTCCATCCGAAACCCAAACTGCAGCTAAGACTTGTTGGTTGACCAGCAGCAGCTGATCTGGGAAATGCTGTAGCAAAAATTACTGGAAACCGAGGACTTTGGAACCCAGAAGATTTTAATACTGATACCACGGAACCTTGGAAACCCGGGTAACCCCATTTCGGAAAATTCTCAGCCTGAAATTACATTGAAGCCAGACAAAGTCTCACAAATCCGGAAAATTGAATCGAAGTAGAGCGTTGAGATTAAGTTGGCATTGCGTGGCACCATCGCACTTTTCGGCGATAGGCCCCTTTACGATAAGCTTTATCATCTTCACGGAGCTATAATTCGATAATCGTTGACTGTCGAGCAGAAGTCAATATTCAAAGTGGATCATGGCTGTCCAAAGTAAACTGGCGGAAATCGCCTTCAATTGCAGCTGCCATGAGTACAACCATCCGTGGACCTCGAGCTGTGCCTGTGCTGCGGCGGGCATGATGCTCTCCGAGATTCCCCCCAGTCTGCGGACCTACGCCACTGTTTACCTGGTAGGTTGGGAATAGGTTAAAAATAGGAAATATTTTTGCACCTTCACGATAGTGATACGGTTCGAAGTTCGGGCTGATTGCAATTTGTACCTATTAAAAATGAGTTTAATTTCTCATGAGTTTTATAAATTCAAATATATCTTAAGTTTGGACATTACAAGTGCTATATACATTTTGCTCCATCTCGAAACTAATCTCCATTTCTCTTCACAGTTGGCTCTGGTCATGAGAGGTCGCATACCCACGCTCAAGGACCTTGGACGCACTGCAGCCGGTATCCTGCAGTCGACGGCTTTCCTCTCTTTGAATGGAGGCCTCTTCGTCTTTTGCGTGTGCTTCCTGCGCCAGCTGCTTGACGGATTCTACTTCGGATCGGTGGCCTGGCTGCCCTCCTTCATATCCAGTTTTGCTTCCTTGGCCGTGGAACGACCAGAGCGACGGGCTCCACTTGCCATGTACGTAGCCAATGTGGGCATTGAGACTCTTTGGAAGATGATGGAAGCTCGAGGATTGGTTCGATCCATTCCCCACGGCCAGGTGCTCATCATGGGCCTGAGTGTCACAGCCTTGATGTACATGTACCGTGCTGGATTGCACAAAACAGTGGCCAAAGATCCCACCTTCAAGGGCCTGGGCGTAATAGTGGGCAAGGAGGAGGAGGGACCTTTGAAATCTCCGACGGTGACCACCTCTCAGAGCTCTCGTCAGCGTCCTCTTAACTTCCGCAGCATCACCGCTTACCTGGAGCTGTACGACCGGCTTCTGACCACCAAGCATCCCAGCTGTCCACACAAGAGCGGATGTGCTAAGTATGCCGTCCTCGGTGGACTGAAACCTTTCCTGGGCGGCGTGGGTCTCCAGGTGGGCCTCAAGCTGCTGCTCAACATTCCCAAGATAATCAAACTCAAGATGCAGTGGCGCAAGCAGATCTTCAATAAGGGATCCCTGCAATTGGGCCTGGCTCTGGGCATCTTCTCGCTGCTCTTTAAGGTGGGTTAATCAAATTTTATTCTGTCTGAAAATATAAAATCTTATCGGTTTCTTTCCAGACCACTTCCTGTGGCCTACGCCATAGCTGTGGCTACGACAGTGCTCTCTTCGCCATTCCTGCTGGCCTTCTCGGCTCGATTGGCCTGCTGCGGTTCCCCAACACCACGGTGGCCTTATATCTGATGTGGAAATCCCTGCAGCTGCTGTACAACTGGGGCGTTTCCGAGGGCAAGCTGCCCGAGGTTCCCCACTTTGCCATGCTCATGTACGGATTCTTTACGGCCGTGCTCTTCCACTCGGCCATCCTGGAGGCACGCTCCCTGCGACCCAGTTACTACAAGTTCCTGCAGAACATCTCCGGCAACCGGATCAGTCGCTTCAATGTGAAGCCCTTCGAGGGATTTGGACTGAAAAGTCAGGATCAGATCAACTATGTGATCAAGAAACTGGGCATCGACATGACCTCACCCTATCCCATTTGCGCCCTGACCGTCTAGAGGGTTTCCCTTCGCCTTCTGTAAAATGTGAGCCAAACAAATAATAAAATGTGTAACAAAAAGATGCAGCAAAACTTTAAATTAAATGCCCGACACAGAATGGCCATTAAGGACTTTTATGCGAGGAGCCGCAGAGTTGGGGGCCGGCATCAATCACGGAGTCAACAAGCCGCTGGCACCCCTTGACTACCCCACATCCCCACATTTTCAACCCCAGAGCCGCAGCTACACCGCTGTGACAACTCTAGACGGCGGCTCCGCGCTGCTCAATTATTTACATTTATATGTCATATAAATTTATTGCCCACCATAACTCAGCCGGCCCAGAGACGAGCCGGGATGAGCTGAGACCAAGGGGAAGATACCCGAAATGCAGCTACAAATTCACTAAAAATAAAAATAATAATAAAGCACAAGAAGAAATGAATAAAATGGGATCAGACTGTTTGGGGCCCTCGAAGCGGTAAATACTCTGAAATAAATACATTCGGTGACTTTAAATAATAAATATTGGTTTCTTGTTGTGAACCTAGTTTAAGTACATAACATGTACATATTTTATAGTATTCAGATGATTTTAAGTATATTAACTTGTTCGGTTGAGTAATAATATAAAATTATATTTCTTTATTGTGAGTTGGAAGTTTAATGTATCCTTTACTACTTAATATATGATTTCTTTAATGCAGTTAGAGTATTATATCCTGAACTCTGCATATCCTTTTTGGAGTGCCTAACCCTCTGCAAGGGTATAATAAGCTCAGTTTCAGCGTTTCTGTGTGCTCCTTGGCCCCTTCTTGCCTAATGATCATCTTGGACACCAGGAGGAGGACTCTGAGAGGAGACACTCTCTAACTGGCAGCGGAACCGAAAACACTGAGACCGAGGCTTAACAAATGAATTATAGGCTCGGGTAAATTTAATGTGGCACTTAGTTATCGGCGGGGAAAAGGGGAGCGGTGGCAGGGAGGGGCCTTTATTTTTATGCGAATCATAATAAGGCAAGCCGGCTAAAGCGACTTCCTTCCGCTTCGCAGCCTGACCCCTGGCTGTTTGTCTTTGGTGATTTTCCATTTTAAATTGAGTTGAAAATAATGAAAATGCAAATTTCCTCGGCCAGATGCTGTTGGCCACGTCTGGGCCCTGTAAAAGTGCAGGCGGCATCACGAGTATTTATGAAATTTATATGCATGTCGGTCGGTTGGTCGGTTGGCAAGGACGTGGACGATGAGGAGGAGTCCGAGTAGAAGGAGCTGTCTTCGAGCCAAGTCAACAGCATGGAAAATACAAATGAAGCCAGTGACAAATCTCATTAATCACGTTGCCGGGGCGGGGGGTGTGGTGCGGATTAGGGGGCGTGGCGCGGCACTAGCTGAATGGGTGCAGCTGTTGGCGCCTCGAAATCTGGGATTATCAGCTTAGCAGTTGCAGTTTCTCCCGCCGCTTTAGCTACTTGTTGTTACTCCTCAAGGGTGCCCGGGGGCCGGCTTCTGCACAAAGTGCATATAAATTGAATATTATAAATTTTCTTATTTTGCAACTGCTGCTCTCACTTAGCTGCTGCCAAGTTGTAACTTCATTTAAGTCAATCGCTCTTCTCTGTGCCACACAAATTGTAAACAAGGGAATTATGCAAATGAATAAATTCCCGCCCCAAGGCGATGTAATGAAATATTATCGAGGCCCCAGGCTCCCTCAACAAATCGAACAGAAAATGAACTTTCAACTGTCAAAAAGGTAAAATAAAAAAGAGGCAAGACTAGGAAAATCAGTGGGAAAAAAGAGAGAAATATGAAGCTCTTCCCATCTTGGCCAAGACTTTCGTGTTGCCATAAATTTCATTTGATATTTCTATGAACTGACAAGGTATGTCAACGCAAGATAAGCAGCCCAAAGCCCTGTCCGACTGCTGGCCCCTATATAAATGACACTTTTTGTCCTTTCGCAGGATGAATTTTTAATTAAAATTTGCAGTTGTGTCGGACGAAGATTGAATGGGAAATTCTAAAATTCTGGGCAACCTAAGAATGCATAGCAAATAAATATACCTGGGGCTTGGCATACATTTGTTTGGAGTTAAGATACAGGTATCTAGTTTTTTATATACAAAAGCATTTACATATGCATATATTATACTTTAAATGAGATAAAACATTTTTTACCGCTCTTTAACTTTATTATTGTTCTCTAAAAGAAATTGGTCTAAAATATATTATCTTTCGGTTGTATTTTTGGGTACCTTATCTAAAAGTAAAACAATTACCACGCAGTATATATGCAATTTATAATTAAAATACTTTTTATACCCTGCTTAGTGAAGACAATTTGCATTTAATTATTTATTGTTTATTATTCATTTTATTACTTCCACTGTTTACCCAAAAATAACAATGTACAAAATATTGCTTATTTAATTTCGTGATTATAATTTGGTTTGCTGCCTTAAACCGGTGTACAAAAATCAGGTTTTATCTCTGCGCAGCGAATTCATTTGTGTAGTCAATTTACAACAACAAATTATAAACAAATGATTATCAAATTATTATTATATGAGTATTTGCAAACTTTTAAACTCATAATTTAAATAACTAAAAGTTGAAAAAGCAAGTAAGCTACAGTTTAGTATGCTTTAATAGAAATGATTTAATAGAAAATAAGCCTAAAGGTTTAATATACAAATTTGATAGTTAAGGCCGAATACTCTTTCAGATCTAGGTAAACGTACTGAAAAACAAATATACTTTATAATTTATATACTTCATTTATTTATATCTAATTTCTGTTGGCGAAAAATCTAACTTGTGGAAATCAGAGATATAAACTGATGATGTCTTTGGGTTTCTTCAAATAACCAGATAAGATTCATATGCATAATTACCTAGAAGTATGTATAAAACAAAAAATACTTAACAAAATAGACTCAAGAAATGTACAATATATACATACATTATTTTTTATTGGGCTCTTAAGTATTTCTTATAACATTTAGTAAGTCTCATTTGAAATTAGTTCCTTATATTTACAATGACCAAACTTAATCACATATCTTTATATTTTTCGCTAAATATATTCCCGAAGTTCAATAAACCGTCAAAAAAAAATTACTGATAAGGTACTTTCAGAAGGCGAACATTCGAACACTGATTGCTCCCAAGGTGCATTCGGCCTCAATGGGTCGCTCCTCCTCCTCCAGCTCCCGGAGTCGCACCAGCTGCAGGGGTACTCCCACCCGGAGGAACTCCAAGCCGGCGTTGATGAGGCTCAGTTGCAGCCAAATTAGGGACAGGCAGAGGCAGGTCCAGCTGCCAATGGGAGACGTCATGCCGGCGACTAGGTTATGGACCCACTGCTAGGTCGGGTGGGATCAGGCACGAACCTCATCAAAAACGTGTCGTTGCCGGGCAGATGATAACGAAATTTCCCTCGTGTGATAAGCTCACTTGTGGCGGGCTTTTGTGTCTCAACATTTTTGGAGCGGGGGGACGTTCGATGTGATTCCACTCGAACTGCTCCATCGAACCTCTGTCGCAGCGCATTTCACATTTCGTTCGTTTCGCTGGGGGGCTTTCGGCTTCGGCTTGCGTTCGGCTAGGACTCGTATTTTGGTCTCTGGTGTGTTCGCAACAGGATGCGCATTGTGCAGGATGGAACATGAGAGCAAACTCACGTACCAAGCTCAGCGCTTGTTCCGCGTTCGAATGTTCCTTGGTTCTGCTAACTGGGTTAGTGGTACAAGTTCAGTTTGACGCATTCTCCCATCTCGCGTTCCAGTGCCGCTCGTTCCGCCGCCATCGCTCACTCGGCAAGGATATGTGCATCCCAATGGCAGGATAACTCTGAACACCCAACTCAAAAGGGGCCACAAAAGGAAAGCGACTTCATCAGCTCAGGCAAGCAGCGCTCTTAGCCGTCTCTTTCTTCGCGGTTGCCATCTTCCTGGAGCATCCTTAATTGAAACTACATCGTTTACCTACTTGTAAGCCATCCTATCAGCATCTGCATCTGCTCCAGCGGGTCTTTGTCGCTATCTCTCTGCCTTTTGTTTGTTCTGGCCCAGCATATAGCCGGTGAGCCAGGCAGCCATCCAGTCACCTCTTATCCTTCTCCTTTGCCACCGAATGCATCATTTGACAGGGGGCACTCCCATCGCTTATTGGCAGAAGGCTTCCTGGTATCCATCTCGGGTGACGCCTTTGTTCTGTTCCTCGCCCTCCCCCCCGTTCGTGGCCAAAAACGAATCTTTTGTTATGCCAGCCGCTCAACGACGACGACAATTGCACTTGCTGATTGCCCTCATTTCAGACTTGAAATAATATTAAAAACTTTTACTCCGTCTCGCCTGCCGTGTCTGTCTGCCTCCAGTATCCCCCAGCTTCCTCTGTTCTTTTGTCTTTGTCTTCACCCATTCCGCTTGCCACATGCTGCATGCTGCATGCCGCCTGCTGCTGCTGCTGCTGCTATTGCCTGCTGGCTGCTTTCTGCAATTGCAAGCCATGTTGCATGTTGAATCGACTCGAGTCGAGGCCCCCATCTTTCGGCCAGGCTTTGATTCCCGTGCTTGTTCCACTTCTTGTTCTTGTTCCTGTCCCTCTTTTATTTACCACATAAATCACATGCCAGTAGGGACGAGAAGAGACATTTCTATATCTATCTACTTAAGGTTTACACTGCTCGACTAGCAGCACTTCCTCCCGAGGGCACTGGGAAAAAATTGTAAAAGTCTCGGAACACTTATTGCCGGAATGTCCTTTGTTCTTTAAAAATGAGCAGAGCTTTGTGTACCTGAGAGTCTCTTAATCCATAAAAAATATCAATATCGGTGAAGAATAGTAATAATAGTTATGCAGATTTTATAAATAAAACACAAGTTTGTAAAAAGGAACCATGAATTATATGAACTACCATATGCAATCAATATAAATAAAAATCATTTCCAATAAATATATAATTTAATCTCACCGAAAGAAAAACCAAAAAAAAAGGATTTGCATTAACAGAGAAAAACTTTTAGATCTCTTTAATTTGTAATATATAAATAATTCAAAAGGACAATACAAATGCAATTGTTTATTTTATAAGAGCAAACCAATCATAGTTTAAACAATTTTTGTGGGAAAACACATTTAGAGTGTTAACGCGAGAATGAAATCAAAAGATAAATAAATTAAATTGACATTAAAAACTTGTAAAATGGTAATTAGTCAGGGAAATGAAAATATTTCTTATTTTTACAATTTGATGATACTGTTTCTTTTAACAACAGGTTATCTTTATGCACTATTTGGAGTGTGAGTAAATTTAAAGGGCATAAAGTAGAGCTAAATTTTCTTTAATTTCTATATCCTTGGTCCTCAGTGCACAGTGTTTGTTCTCCTTTCTACTCAGCTGGCGCTGCTTATCTCCTGTCCTCGACTTTGTCCTGGTCTCAGTGTGGCCGAGTGCTTTTCGGATTGTTAGTTGCTATTTTTACGATTGCCCATTGTCTGGCCAGCTTTCGTCCTTGCCGCTCCCTGATCCCCTTCATATCTATGTTCCTCTCTGCTGCTTTTCGGGAAGCGATAGGACACGTATCCGCTTTTGGCGATTCCTTGGCAATTGCAGTTGTTGTTACTGTAACTGTATGTAATAGTCCTGCGTGCGCGGGAGTATCTGTGTGAGCTGGCTTCTTTCTTGTCGGGTAATTGATGATTTACAACTTATTTACGCTCCGATTGTGCAATAATTGAAAATTACTCTAAATTCATTTTGGGCATTCTTTGGTAAATATCTTTGCTGTTTTTGGCCATTGGCAACGGAAATGCCAAAGCCAATTGGCTTTGAAAGAAATAGGGCATTGTTGGGGTCTCTATAAACATGATATATCATTTAAGAATGCATTTAATTGCTAGGTAAAAGTTAAATTTGAAAATTATCAATACCCCCTGTTGAGTGTTTATTTATTTGAGATGGGAATATTATTAAATTTATATGTTAACTAACAGTTTTTAGTAGTTAACTTTACCATTACCCTTGGAGGGATTTCTAATTATAGTTACAAGTTTCAAACGCTGTGAAAAAGTCAATATCGACTTTTAAAGTATATATATTCTTGAGCATCATCAACAGACATGCCGATCTAGCCATATCCAGTCGAAATATAAAGTATCGAAATATTTTTGGAATGTATAATAATAGTTAGAACATTGGTTAAACTTTATATGTAGTTACATATTTACTGAAAGATTCTTTATCGGGCTAAAATATTTACGTTTACCTCATAAGAGAACTTTTCCAAGGAATACAAACAAAATATTTAATTATTTTTCTACTTATGCTCACCAGGAGTATGATCCTTGTGAGAGTATAATTAATCTACTTGCCGCATATCAAGCTTCACAAAACACATGGCTCCTGCAACTGGCCCGATATGCAGCGTGGAAAATGGAAAATGGGAGTGGCCGGTCTCAGCCAGCGAGCGGATTAGGCCAGTGCTGCACAAAGGAAACTGCAGCTGCAGCTGCGGTAAAAACATTCATGTCTAGGAAGTCTGGCAGGCGGACAAAAGCGAAATGTTGATCCTGGCCCGAAGGACGACGAGAGGTCCAGGAGCCGGTGTGGTGCGATGCACACATCTTGGCAACGGGCCACCAACATTATGGCCACACAAAAGTGAAATAGAAGCTGCCCGGTTCGGCCTTTAAATTCAATTCGAAGCAAATGATGCAGCTGAAGCTCAAGCAAATTTTCCAGGGCTGCCGCTTCAACAGCTTTCGACTTGACAGCGGCTGCCAGCCAACAACGTGGCTATAATTTGCGGCAACATATGTATGGCCGAGTTTGTGGCAGCTGGCAACCGGCAACTTGCCACTGGTAACTGGCAACCGGCAACTGGCAACCGGCAACTGCCACTCCGTACGCCCAATTGGCTGCAAAGTGGTCGCCCGCACAAAAAAATCGTAAATTAATTGCAGCCTCAAAAGTTTCTTTGTTGCACTTACGGCCGCACCACTTTGGACGCACGGCCTCCAATTATGTCATTAGACAAGGTCCAGATGGGCAGCCGTAAATTGCCACCGGGGCGACCATAAACAACAGTCAGGTACGACAAATGCCGTCCTGACATGAAAATGTTGACTAATTTTTCCTTCAAGCCCAACTGCACCCCGGGCCATGCGGCGTATACGCAACGTTGACAAACTTCGCTGCAATTCGTCGCCAATGGAAGCACCATAAATCCCCAAAAACCCAACTCCCCGTCGAGTGCTTTTGGGCAGACCTCTTTCATGCTGCCTCCACAAGGTTTCATCCTGCCCTGACCCGTCCCGATCCGTATCTGGATCAATTAATCCGTCCGATACGGATGAGCCAGGCAAAATTAAATAACTACTGCAGTGCGCTCCTAATCTCGGCCAGATAGTAGCTGGCCGGCTTATTAATGGACGGAAATTTAAAGTGTTCGGCAGAGGAGAGCCAAATATTATGGAATTAAAACAGTGGGATATTTGGCCAAAAAAGTAGTTGGCTTAATTTGAATGCCTGCATCTATATCAGGTTTTTTTTATAAAACATTTTATGGCCGCAATAAAAATTTCAACGAACTTTTCGCTAAAATTCCCCTGAATGTTCAAATTGCGCTGCTTGAATAAAGCATGAAAATTGGTTTAGCAAAGCGAAATGGAAAATGTGCGAAATGTCAACTGGTTATTGGAAGGTATTTAAACATTTTCTTTGAATTTAAAAAAGCTTTAAAATAAGTCAAATGAACCTTTAGGGGGATGTTAATTATTAATCGAGCATTTACAGAGTTGACAAGCTCTAAATATTAAATACCATATCAAATCGGCTTTAAAAGTTAAAAGTTGACAAGATTTTTCTTAGTATTTTTAAGTTATTAGTTAAAATATGTAGAGTAAGATCATATTTCATAAAATATTGATTTTATTTTAACCAACCATATGAATATATATGTTGATGTATAACATATTTTAATCTATACCATTTCCCTATTTTTTATAGTCTTTCCGATCTAGGTGTTAACAAATAATAATTTCATGTTACGTACATAATTATATCATATATAATTAAGTATGCTTTCGATGCATACAAAATTATTAATTTATTCTTTCTGCCATTCAGCAGGCATTCATTATACCCTTGCAGGGTATTATAATTTCAGTCAAAAGTTTGAAACGCAGTGAAGAAGTCATCTCCGACCATATAAAGAATATGTATTCTGTCCGTCCGTCCGTCTGTTCGTTTCTACGCAAACTTGTTCTTTTAGTTTTGAAGGTATCTCAATGAAACTTTGCAGTTAGTATTCACTCTTATGTTAGTCGGAACGGGCCAGAT